AAGCGACCAGCCTTGATGCAAAAAATATTTGGACGCAGTACAAAAATAGTGTTTTCTTATAGACTATGAAATTGCTAACATGCTTGTTTCCAAAATCAAAGCTCCTATGAATAAAACTAAAGCAACTGTAACGAAAAGAAAATAATTTTTTATATATGAATATTCACAATTTTAATAATTTACAGTTGATTAAGCTTTCAGATCGTCAGATTCCTCATCAGTGAATTGATTTTAAATATTTGTATATTCTTTATTTTTTGTTTTTATTTCAGTTTTGATAAGTCCCGTTGTCTTTTCAGATGATAATAGATACACATTTGTAGACTTCATTTTTATTAGAATACCTAAGAAATTTCAGTTCAAATGAATGAAAGAAAATTTATACTTTCATCTAGTGGTTTGTCAAGTATTTTTCATGAAGACTCAAAGATTTGGGTTCGTTGAATCACATATTGACTGACGAAAATATTTTTTAGAATGTGTAGCACAAAATACTGTTCGACAGATAGATAAATACTGGTGAATTGTTCTACACATATGAAAGAGTTGTTGCATCAGGTGATGCACTTTTTCAGTCTTTCGTAATATTATTGTCTTTCAGAAGAGTCAACTCTGTTGAATTTTCTGATTGCTTTTTCAAATGCGGTAATATCATGATCAAGAACGATTGGGTCCATGGTAAAAAATCTTGTTTCTCTTCGAATGTAATCGAGCACTAATGAAGTTGTGAGAAATATATTATGCATACTACAGTAGATTTCTGCATGACTACCAGTTTTCATTAATTTTGATTATTTACCTTGATATTCATGGCTACTAGTAATCAACAGATAGTCTATAACTAATCGAATTGCTCGTGTTTCGTCCTTGAGAGGTGATGAAAAATGAGACAGCCTATTTTTGTGTTGATACACGTCAAAAGTGCGTCATTCTATGCCTTTAACCTTATGTTCGGAGAGTTCTAACATATATTCAAGAAATCTTTCATCCACATTCCATATGAAAATCCGTCCAGTCAATATTTTAAAAATCATATTGATGATTCGAAAATGTAGCAAAGCAATAATTTATCCATCCTTGTAGAGTATCGATTTGAATTCAAATAGATTCTTCTGAATATGATAAAGAATTTTATTTATCTCTGATAATGACCCAGATGAGCATCATCATTTATCAATATTATTCATCATTTTGAATAAACTTGAACAATGAAAATAGACAATTTTTACGAGTGTCCCGCAGTGCCTTCATCAACATATGAAAGAAACAAAAATTACATTAACATATTCTTATTTTCATTCAGTTTTTGATCAAATGACGTCACAATGATCTTGAGAACTCTATCAGAGGTAGTCAACATTATAGATGACTTATAGTATATTTATACTTTCAGTAAAAATACCAAGTAATAACTTTTTTCGCATGTAAGTAAAAATATAAGTGCAAGCATAATACTTTTACTTGCTGTACTTGTACTTGTCCCAACTGTGAGCTGACGTGTTATTTACAATTTTTGAAAGCATTTATTAATTACGGGACCTCTCAAATAAAGAGATTCGTCCTATTGATGATGATGTCAAATCAAATGGGATAATTATTTATTATTAGATTAACCTGATGAGATATTATGTAGAATAGTTTGGTCCGAGAATTTGAATTTCTCCCACTTACTGATTTTAAAGGACTATTATATTCAATTTGACGACTATCTATTAATATTGCATTATTCCCTTATACGCATTACAATTTTGGGTATGTTTAACCCTTTACCCCCCATTGGCAATTGGAATTGCCATTTTTAGAAACACCGTAGAAAACTTAGCATCTGAATTATTAAGAATCTTCTTGGATATTTTCTGTAGGAAACTCCCTAAGCTACCGATTGGCAAAAAAGAGAACCTTTAATCATAACTCTGTTTCCAAGACACAAAACTTACAAAAAAGAAGAATAGACGATTATTTTAAAAAAGGACCCTTTGTTTTTCTTTTGTTGTTTTTATTCATGAACAATGTATATATTATTGATAGTTTATGTGATAAATGTTGCCGAAAGTTGCTGCTGTTGAACGAAATGTTTTTTAAAGTCCTCACAAAGATTAGTCGAACATGAGGCTGAACTACATGCAATGGCAAATCCAGTTGCCATTGAGGGGTGAGGACATTAAAAAAAATTTAGAAATTCTCGTCTAAATGCAATAATTTTTTGCGTTGACATACACATAGGTAAACAGACTGCTATTATCTATAAAAATGAGCATCATTTGTTGTTATATAAATTTTTGGAGCAGATGTAGATGGATGTAAGGATCAAATTGGACAAGAACATACTCGAACTACACTCACATCAACACCAATACTCACACCGTAATTCTCTCAGATCTTATCATATTTGAAGTTGAAGAACAGTGTATCAATAGTTATGCTCTCTACTTATCGGTTTAGTTATTTCGAGAAAATCAGAGATTATCTGCATACGAACTTACTTCAGATGATCATATATCGTAGGAAAAATAAGAATATTTTTTATGTTTTAGTCTTTTATTGTTTGTATTGTTAGAATACAACAATATATGATATCTTTTGCGAAACCAATAAACTATTTTCAAAAAAAATAAAAAAAGTGGTTTTCATGTCCTTACCCCCCAATGGCAACTGGAGTTGCCAAATCACCGTGCGTACATGTAAAGGATCCTGGCCAATCTAATAATACTATTGAACTACTAAAGATAACAGTACTCCATTTCACTAATTATTTTATTAGTGTCTTCTCTGGAACAGTTGTGGGGGGTAAAGGGTTAATACCTGAATAAAAGATAGTACTACAGCTATTATTCATCACTTGAAAAGAATGAAACACAACTAAAAGAAAATGAGTCTTGACTGGGATTCAAACTCAGGTTGTATCACAATTAGTAACTAGTGACACATTCTCACTAACTAAGCTATCGAGACAGTCTTAACTCAAATCCAGACTCAATTTGAACATTCATTTAATCTTCTCAAGTGACAAATAATAGCTGTTATATTGTCTTCTATTCAAATAATGAATAAAAAGAAGTTCGGTCATATACATTAATGTATAATTATATATGATTTAATTCAACGATAATAGACAACCATATTTGCAAATCCTCGATTATCGAGGTCGATTAGAGTTAGCGTTTGTACAACGAAGTCTCTATGTGCAATATCAGTCAACAAGATTAAATAAATGTTCACGTTGATTCTCTATGAATTTTCTCTTTATCGTGCACCGACTGATAAAAGGATGGGGCATTCATTTATCATAGAAAAGAATGTGTTAGAAAATCAGAGAATTATCATATTATTCTTTCGTTCTACGACGTTTTTTCTTTCTTCTATGCACGTAGTGTTTATTGGTTCTGTTTCAGTATATTTTCTTCTTTGATGTCCATGACTCAAAAGAGAATCTTAATAGAAAAAAAGAAAAAACGAGCGTATTGACGAACTTCTAAATATATTGAGTAACTCAAAATCAATTCCTTGGTAAAAAAACGAGAAGAGAGACTTTTGAACAGATATAAACACAACTGAGCTTGTCAACCTAAAGATCCATGAATATAAAGAACCGACAAAGCATAGGCACTAGTATATAACTAGTGTTGAGTCCAATTAATCTTGTTAGTTGTGTTCTGATTATTTCGCCGCTTTTTCTTTTCTTTCGACCATGTTACCCATCTCCTATGTTGTTTCTTCCATAAAACCAGAAGAAAATCGTACCATCCAATCTGCTACTATTTTCCTCTTCTACATTATGTGACATCGTCTTGTGCAAGTTGTACGCATTGTAGATACAGCTAGCTAGTCTGTCTCAGTGAAAATATATACCAACTGATGTTCTATTGATATTTTACAGACAATGATTTCTCCATATCAAATGAGTGGACAATTTGATTTTCGAGCATTGTTGCTCAAAATACAGGATCTTCTATCTGATAACGATCGACATCGTTTGCATTTTCTTCTTGGTGAAGATGTTCCAAAATATTTACGCGACGATCCTTCACTTAGTGGAACGCTTCGCGTACTGGAGTCTCTTTTCGAAAAGGCAATAATCAGCGATCAAGATTGCGATTATCTCATTGAAGCATTTATGAAAATACATTGCAATGACGCCGCGAAACGACTTCAAGGTTTATATCTTCTGTTTCTCATTATAATTCACACTTAACGAACTCTTTATGCTTGTTTTCAGAATATCAACGAATACGCGAAGAATGTAGTCATCGAAGTTTCTCACTTCAAGATATTCTTTTACTCGACAACGTCGAAGAGGATAAGATGCCTTCGATTAGTTCGTAGCAATAAGAGGTTTTACTGAGTTTACGATTAGAAATTTCTTTTCAGGAAACATGCCTATCACATCTAACCCAATGTTAGCTGCACATTTTTCGACTTTGTGTACAGATGTAAGTCTCGAAAGCAAACCAACAAGTTCATCGTTAACTGCGCATAACGAAACGAAAAGGCACATCCATAGATCTCGGTGGACTCATCGAATATTTAAACGACCATTGAACAATTGTGAATGGATTCTAATCATCAGCAATATTCTGACTCTTTTAAGTCTTCCGTTGACCGTTTATCTCTCGATAGCATTGGCCCAATGTACCAAGGTGAAGAATTCAGGTAAACTCATAGTCATTCGAATGGTTTTGCTAGATCGTGACTGATATAGAATGTTTTCTGTAGATATTCTTCACTCTATTTGTGAAAGCTTCAGTCAATACAGTAACTAGTGCAAAAGGAAATCTATTTCAGATGAGTCTAGATTCATACTTTCAAATTGAACAACTTTCATGAAATAAATTGATAGTTGATTTGTTGTTGGTTGGAAAAAGTTTCTACTGTGAGTTTGATAAGAAATCATTTATAGGATTACAGAACGTCACTATTTTCCAGTATAAATTTCACAAGAGGCAAGTTTCAATGAATGAAACCAGTCGAATCGAACTTTTACACTGATTTATTTGTTAGTTATGAGCTCTACATCTACGAGTTCAACGAATCTTAATATCAAATGGCATGAAAATTGGGCTTTTAATTGTGACTTTTCTGGTAATGATTTGACACATATCCAAATATCGGGTGAATCCTGTGGTACAAGATGTGCTCAAACACCGCGATGTTCTCATTATGCCTGGACTACATATAAACATGGCACATGTTGGTTGAAACAAGGGCAGATATCAAAGAAGCAGGCTGTTGAAAAAAATGACAACGGCAATGTTTGTGGAGTAGTGGGCCCTTACGAACAAATTTCTAATGAATATCCAATAATTTCAAATATTTTCGCTACACATTATCTTGATAATGACTCTGATGGATGTGCGCTTCCAGTATCACACTATACTATTAGTTATCCGGTTGCTCTAGGAAATATAATGGCTTTGAAATATCTTAAATTTCGACCAGAATTATGTGGTCAAGTTCTCACGATTAACTGTGGTCATGGATCATTAGATACTATCGTTACGAATTCGAAACCTGAAGGTGGTCTTCTTCTTTATACTTCTACTTGGAACAAACTCATCAAGAACAACAAAACTGAAAACGTTTCATGCAGTGTTCAGCTCCAATTTCGCAACGTTTTCGAATCTTCTGAGCCCCGTTGCTATTACAAGTTAGGAACAATAACTTCCACTACTCATCGGTACAAAATAGGCATTTTGAACACGTATGGACGTATTGTCAGCGAAGCTACTATAGATAACCAATCCGCACATCCTCGAGGAGCTAATTCTTCTTATGCATTTGACTTTGATTTCGTTGATATGAACAAAGAAGTTATCTTTACTTTCGAGAATGGAATGAAAAACTCGTTTCGGTTGGAAGAATGTCTACATCATCAAACTGAACAAATTTGGAGTTAAGTAAGATGTAGATAAGGTGAAAAACTCAGCAAAATTTTTTTCATTCTTTGACGAATGATTTAGATTGAACACGTCTTTTAAGTTTTCAGCAGTGGCTCTATATGGAAAGAAATTGATGCAAAATTGAGTAGGCTATTGTGCAGAAAAAAGGACGAATACTTCGAAAGCAGACAAAATTTTATTTTCTCGGCTTCAGTAAATCTCGCACTATTATTCTCTGACTGTCCATATGAAAATAAGTGAGAAAAACATCATTCAATTTCATTTCATTTTCAAACGGCTGGTTTACATGTGCATCGAAAGAAGAAGCATGCACCGATATTGAAATAATCTTATGAAATTATTTTCAAACTCTCGATTACTTTTTTAATAGTTGAACTTTTATCGAAAATATCAATTAAATTTGAGTAAAAATACGCAAAAACAATCGATTAGACATTATTGTGAACTGGAATCAATTGTTAATTGATTAAAATAGAATTTGTATTTCATCGATTATATTAGAGATTATTAGGAACTTATCAAGTCGCAATGGGTTCTCAACGGTTTCATTAGAACTCCTCAGCTATTGATTAGAATGTATCTGATCATGATCAAATGTGTTAGAAACAAATACGAACCGATTACAATAGCACTTATACAGTATGGTTTTTAGTACCATTAAATATATGTTGTTGAGAAAATGATGGTTGCGATTGCTGTAACTGAGGGCCTTTGATATAAATAGAGTTGAGTTTCCTGAAAAAGGAATTGTGTCTAGGGTATGTAACTTAGTATATTCTTAGTGTATACTTAGATCAAGTTACGTACTCTAACTGTTTGTATTGATTTGATAGTTAAGCATTACTCCATATTTCTAGTTTACTATCTTGATACAACGTTTAGGTAAAGATTGGCTACTGTTCAAGGAGCTTTTTCGAAAACTAGTGCCGGCATTCGTTACGTTAAGTTGAGAGTCATTATTCGATTTTTATCCATTGGAATTGAGACTGCTTACTATGTGAATTTGTCCAGGAGCAATTAAAACTATTGTGTTATATCGACTCATCATATCCTTAGTTTTATTTGATCTATTTAGTTAGTACGGATGAAGTTCTTCTAAGAAAACCATGAGATGCTCTACAGGCGATATTTAGGTGGAAAATATATCCTTTGACTTAGTTGTTGTATTGATTCTGAAAATCATTATCATTTCGCTTAAAAGTTAGCTGCAGTACTTTTAACAAGGAATTTCAAATCTAATTTCTTCATTTTATGCCACACTGAGCGAACCTACGAGTTCTTTTTCTACAAACGATAAAGGTTTTACCCAGACTATTCGTAATTTCAGTGCTCTACATGCACTGGATAGAACGCATGGGAAGGATCTACTGAATCCTAAATGGAGAAAATCAGATAGATTTACAAAATGTGTTGAAAACACATACATGATTCCTCTCTTAATGCATACATCAACTAACCATTTGAAAACTAAATGAAATCTGAAGACATTTTTCTCGGTCAATTTTATATGAGCAATCAAAAGGAAATAGTACGAGTAGTAAAAAGCACAGAAAATGAAAGTGTGGTGGTTTTCGGATAACTTTTGGTGTTTTGTGAAAAATAGCCTATTCCAAGTAATATAAATTTCTTTCCATATAGAGACTTACTAAAATCTCAAAAGGTATTATTCTACCTTCTCAAAATGCTCAATTTAATCATTCACTGAAAAATGAAAAATAAATTTTATTGAACTTTTCCATTTCTTATATCTTACATCGAAAGAAGTTAAATGTTCAAATGGAATCCTATCGATTAATATAATAAAAATAATGTTGACTGCATAATGTAACCCAACCAGTTGCAAGACAATCTAAAAGTCACCTCATGGAACCATCCAGATTCTGTCAGATCGATGGTTTACTGAAATAATATAATAAAAGATTGAGACTGTTTCTTCGTAGTCTAGAAGAAGACAGAAAACTGAATGAAATTCGAAGGTCATTCAGAGATTTCAATTTTATTCGACACAGAATACTTCACGTATGAATGAATCACGAAAAAATCTGATTGAATCACCTCAGATTACATAACAATCATCAGCATTTCACTTTATAGTTTGTGACCAGTTCATAGTATTTCAAGAATCAACGTTTTAGCGAAAAAATTCTGAACAATAATATATTGATTGATTAGTTGTGATCTGTGAGAACAAATCGAGACTTATACCGAATGATTCACTGTATAATGTTCAAACAAATCTTTTTTGAATCAAGCGAACGAGAATTCGCGTCGCAAAACACAGTACCTAAGCGATGTGTAGATGGAGAAGAAGCATAATCTGAATGATTTTCACCAAAAACAAAATCGATCAATATCTAATGTGGAGCTTTTCCAAAGTTTGATCAGATATCACTTGAGTTCATTCTCAAATCATCCAATCACAAACATGGAAATTTGTTTTCTTTCCATTAATTCAACTATAATTTGAGTAGACCGCAACAAAGTTGTAATGTATGGTCACTTACAAGTAGAGTCAATTTACCTGAGGTGAACACACGTCATGCATGTCTGTCATTTGACGTTAGTTTCTTTACCATTTGTTGCAAAAATTCTAGTTCTGGTACGGCGAGTTGGGCACATATGTACGTGGGGCACTACAAAAGTTTTTTCACTAGCCTTTAGGATAAATATTCAGAGGAGGATTTTAATTTATTTTTTCAAAGTACTGTCCTTCAGTATCAATGCATTTATGCATTCGAATAAACCAGTCTTCGAAACAGTTTTTAAAGTCTTCTTTCATGAGACTGTCAATGGCTTGTTGTAAAGCAGTTAACATTTCGTTGTCGTCGTTGAACCGAATACCACGTAACTGATTCTTGAGCTTCAGGAATAAGAAGAACTTACAAGGACTTATATCTGGAGAATATGGTGGATTTGGATACTGTTCTACATGATTTTCCAGCAAAAATTCGTTCGTAATCCAAGCTCGATGTGATCTTGCATTATCGTCATGGAAGATGAGACCTCGAAGACCTCGTGTTCCTCTTCGTTCAGATACAGCTTTGAAGACTTGTGGTAAGCATGTATTGACGTGCCAGCTTGCGTTCACTGTTGCACCTGTTTCTAATGGAACAGACTTGATTAAGCCGGATTTCATGAAAAAAATAGCCACCATTCTTTTCCCGGCACTTTTGGTTCGATGAATTTTGGTTGGACGTGGATCAGTTTTTGAGATCCAAACTTTTGATTGTTCTTTTAATTCGTGATCATAATGGTAGAACCAAGATTCATCACCAGTTATAATGTCAAATACACAACGAGACTGACCTTCTTCAAATCTCTTTAGCGAATGGTGGCAATATTGAATTCGCAGCTGTTTTTGGTCGTCGGGTAGTTTATGCGGTACCCACCGAGCACAAACTTTTCTTAGATTTAAATACTCATGAATAATCGAATTAATTGCTGTGGAACTGATACCCAATATGTTTTCTATTTGCTGATACGTCGAATGAGGATCATCTTCAATTATTTTTCGTACAGCATCAATTGTTTGTCCATTAACAGATGTTGAAGGACGACCTGAACGTGGAGCATCTTGAACACTAAAATTATCGCGTTGAAATTCATGAAACCAATTGAAGACTGTGTGATCAGAAGGTGCTTGCTCCCCCCCATGCTTGCACCAAACGGGCATGGCTATCCTTGTATGTTAAGTCAATTTTCCAATCATATAAAATCATAGTACGAAATTGTTCACGTGAGAGTTGAAAACTCATGTCGAAAGTGACGCGAGGGTGACATGAAAAAAAAGAAAAAGTACAACGATGGGTAATGCGTGGACGGCTGAAATTTTGCACATAGTCCTAAATATGAGTAAGTGTTATAGCGGAATAGATGTCCTCAAATTACCATTTCTAGAAGAGCTGTATGAAAAAACTTTTATAGTGCCCTATGTATTTACTGTCATAGTATAAACGGACAAAAGCAAAACAATTAAATACAATAAAAATAAAATAAAGTTAAAGATATTCTTTAATAGTCATTTTTGGGCACTTTAAACGCCACAAGAAACTCGATCACGAGATGAGACCTTCGCGTCCAAATTATCAGTCAAATTATTGTCGTCTACTCTATCGTATTCTAGCAATTCAGCTTGGCCGACGCTGTTTTCGACATTTTTTTACATTCTAAGAATACTTACTACGTGTTCGTTTTGATGCACGTCACTAAAAGCGAACCAACGATAATAAAATGAGCACAAAGTGCACTTACCAGTCATTTCAACGGAAGACTGAGTATCTCAAAGAACTTATACCCTGTTCAGCTTGAAAACGTGATACTTCACCATCGTCTCTGGTAAGAAAGTCATTAGGAATTATTAGGGCTATAAAGCACAAATGCTTCAATCAAAACAAATGAAAGCTATTTGCAAAGAACTGCCAGGTTACGACTGGCTTTTTCTTGTAGCTTAAGAAACTGAGAGTGTCAATTTATGAAGCTAGATTACGTAAAGCTAATCACTACATTGATAAGCTTGATAGTGACTGAAGAGAGACAGTAGGCAATACAATGTTTTGCGAGGTTCGTCGCTGGCTTAGATGACTGAGATGGGAAATGAGGGTACAATTGAAGTTGCATCAAGCTTCTTTAGCGATGTTTTCGGTCAATTCTAGCAGATATACTTGCCATGGATCTCAATACTCTAGTTATACTTGAAAGACAGTATCGCGCCACATTTTTAAGCATAACGCCAAGAGTATATCCAGTTGATCTCATAGTTGATATGTGTTCGGTTTGTAATAATGCTTCTCATCATGTTCCTTCAACAGCGTTATTCATCATGGCATCGAAACGCTGTTGACTAGTGATCTTCGCGTTCTTCACATGTCAGTCTCCTCAAATTCACAGTCACGAAAAAAACATTGCTGTACTCTCAGCATGATTATCTTTTTTCCGATCGAAATTTAGAAAACATTCGGTTCTCATTGATTATCAGCAAGAATGCGAATGGAGACTTGTCGTTGCATATTATCTATCGGAAAGTTTTCAATTTATATAAGTTCTTCATAATGAAAAAACTTTCAAATATTCATCAAGACATATGAAACCGGCGTGTATGAGAATCTTTTAGTGATGACCGACTGAATTACATAGATGCTATTCTGCTAACAGAAGTTAATGGTACTAAAAAAACATTCATTACCTTAGATTTTTTTTGAGTTTGCCAACTGCACTTTTTATTTCCCCATTGCACGTTTCCTCTTAATAGATACATAAAGGCATGGTGAGGTTCAGAAAAATTATTTCAATACGTTATTAGACGTTTCTTCCTTATATATATATATATATTGAAAAATATTTGGTACTCATTATATGTTTCATCAAAAGATTTTATTCTTTTACCAAAAAGAAAAACTAACAAATAGAAGAACACACAATGAGAGAATAAAGAACACACAAACACAAAATAATCACATGAAAGAAAATTTTTTTTCGGGTATAACTTATTTAACATACGAAGAAGAAAAGGACAGTGTTTTATCATTGAGCTTCAATAACCGGTGTTGAATTCGTCATTGTATTCTTAACGATTGTCTCTGTATCATTATCTTTACTATGATGACTTTTTCTACTTTTCGAATTGGGACTTCTTGAACTATGACGACGATGTTTTTTATGATGATGATGATGATGTTTTTTACGCTTTTTTTCACTGTTTGAATTTTTTTCTTCAGTTGTATCATTCGATTGATTCATAGAATTTGCTTTAGCTGATTGAATGGAATCTAAAGGATTTGATAAAGATGGAACAGAAGAATTTTCTTCCATAACTGGTTTAATTGTTGATGAAAGTGTTGTACGTTGCTGATCTGATGGTACTGTCGTTGGTGATGGAGTAAGTATTAATTTAGATTGAGACTGTTCTTCTGTTTTGGATGACGGAGCGATACGATCATCATTAACTTGTGAACGACGTCTTGAACGACTTTTTGTTCGACGATGATGTCGACTAAATCAAATCAAATAAAAAAAGAAGATAAATTATCTTTCTTACTCAGAATGTTGCTTTGAAGATGAAGTTTCATGCATATAAACAATTGTACGTTGAGTTGATTGTTGAATAGTTGGTGGTGGACGAGGTGAACGACGTCTTTCTCGATTTTGGGTCGATCGATACGGACGAGGAGAAGGTCTATTTAAGGAAAATAATAAATATTTAAAACTTTATTTTATTTTTTTTTCGAATAAATTTTACCTTCGATAATTTGATGAATGTTTTTCATTAGTAGTAGGAGCTCGTCGTCGATTTCGATACGATGGTGATCGATGTCCAGCAGGCGATCGTCGTTGTTTACTATTACTACGTGTTGATCGATGTCTTTGTCGACGATTATCACGATTTGGTGATATTGTTCGACTATCACCACGACGATGAACACTTGTTCGTCGATGACTTCGACTACGTGATGAACGACGATGACGACGATCATCACGCCGTGAAAATGATGAACTACGAGAATCACTATATCAAAAATAAACAATAAAAACAAAACTCAGACAAATATCATTAATTATATCTTACCTGCTGGTATAAGATGAATATGATGAAGAACGTGAACGAGTACGATGACGGCTGCTAGATCGTTGACTAAAAGCAAAATAAGACAAAAAGAAAGAAATAAAAAGAAAAGTAACTATTTACATTCGTTGAAAATAACGTTGTTTCATATAAAATTCATCTTTAGACAGAGCTGATGCTAATGGTGTTGATATTGGTTGAGCAGCTGTTTGATGATGATGAGCAATAAGTGTTGATGTTGACGTTGCTGCAAATGGTGTACTTGGATGATGAAGAGAGGATACATTAGCTGCTTCAAAATGTGCAACATGAAATCCATTTATTGGATTTGATTGTATATGTGGAGGAGCAAGTGGATGATGATGAGCTGGAAGACCAGCTGGAAATGATGGATGACCAGGATAATGATGTATACCACCAGTTGGAACACCTACTGGTAACATTGGAGGAGCACCCACCGTATGATGAACACCAGGATAAGGAACATGCATTGATGATGGATAAAAATTACTAAAATAAAGCAAAAAAAAATATATTCGAATATTTATTTTGATTAAAGTTACTGTTGAATTGGATAAAGACCAGTTGATGATGTTGGTGGAACCGGTTGAGGATACATAGTACCGTGATGAACATGTTGTTGATGAGGTGCAATATGCGGAGGAGCTGGATGATAATATGGTACAACAGATGTGGTAGAAGCCATGGTTGGTGTGGTTATTGTTGGTGGAGACGAAACTACTGTACTTACTGGTGCTACTTGAGATGGTGGGGTTTGACGATCAGATTTTTCATCTTATTATAAAGATTTTAAAACTTAAATTTTCAAAAAAATAATAAAGAAAAATGATTTACTTTCTGAAGCATTTGTATCAACTTTTGTATTCAGTGGTTCTTCGACAGTGTTATTATTTGTTGCTGATAATTTAGGATTAACATCTTTTTGACTACTAAATATAGACATATATATTTAGAATATTGATGAAGTAAAATAAAGACTAACCTAGATGTTGTTTGATCTGTATCAGGTGCTTTTCCATCTTCAAATGTCATATCAGCTGGTCTTGTTGAAACAATTGGTTGTGGTGATGGACTTCGTCCAAGTGGTTGCATTTTAATAACAATTGGTGCTGTTTTAATTGGTACAACAGATTGTTGTGGAACTGTTGAAAGAATAGCTGCGTCATATTCATCATCATCATCCGCATTCTGAGCATTTGTTAATCCAGATGCTCGTGTTGATGGTGAATCTAAATCTTGTTCCAATGTTTGTGATGATGAATAATTAACTGTTGATGTTTGTTGTGGTAATGACATATATGGATAAGATGATTTATGTTGCCGTTCTTCACGCCAACGATTAACATGTTTTCGTAAAAATAAATTTGGATTTATCTGATCAATAGCTACATGTTGGCGACGACAATGTGGACATTCATGATCTTCACTTTCAACTAAAGCAGTACGAATACCTTAGAAAAATACAAATACATATAGATATATGTATAGATGAAATTTAATAAAATATTTGTTTATTTACATTCATCGCAAAAACTATTATGACAACATGGTGTAATAACAGCATCGGTATAAATCTTTTTACATACAGGACAAAGAAGATCATCAGGTGGTGTATCTTCATCAGCAGATTTTGTTGGTAACATAGATGGAGGTGGAGCTGGTGGTAAAACACCTTTTTCTTGAAATTGACGAGCACGCTGGGCCAATGCATCAGCTTTTTTCTCACTTTTTTCAATAATTAATTGACTAAAAAAGGATATAAAAATGTTAACATACAAAGATTTATTTATTAATTATATTCACTGTTCTTTTAAAATTCACTCAACGAAAACAAAAACGACTAGTGATGCATATTGTATTTGAATTTAAATACTTACGCCATTTGTCGTGGTACAACAGGTGCACCAGTTTGATCTCGGAATGCGCCTGGTATATGTCTTGGAATTTGAATGAGACCATCACGTGGTATACCTGTTGTTTTTTTAGGTAATGGTTCATTTCGTGGATGACCTGATCCACGATGATGAGAACGATTACCATGATAGTGATTGTTATGATGATATGAAAGTTGATAAGGTGATTGATGTGTAACA